GACAATTTTTGAAATATACGTAAAGTAGAAATGAGAAAATTTGAAGGTAATTCCTTTAGAATAACAGGTAACACTAATTTTAAAAAGAAATTAACTAGCTTTGTATCGAAATCTGCCTGGGGAAATCCAGCTATGAAAGTCAAAGTTAAAACTGAAATTCGCCGACACACAGCCGGCGCTGAAGCTGTTGTTTTTCGATCGATCTCTGAAGGACTGTTATGAATGAACACTGAGGAACAAAATAATACACACAGAAGTCATTTTTTTAAAAATTTATTTGAAAACCCAAATGTTTCTGTACTCAAATGAAATTCGCTTATTCCAGCGTAATGTGCCCGTTTAAACTCAACTAAAACTTTTAATAGATGCGATGAAAACTTCCCAACAAAGCTGTCTCGAATTTGAGCGTGTTTCCTGAAATATTTGCTTGGATTTGGCATCAGCTTGACCAAAAAGTCGATAAAACAATGCTAATTGATGAATTTACATTTCAAAGAGACTTTCTCTTCTATAAAAAACGTACAAAATGTACCTTCAATCTTCGCTGGCTCGATTTTCCTTTGAACAGCCGATTCTAGCCGCGAGGAAAACAGTGATTAATTCATCCAGGGCAAATTTGCCGCTTGATCTTTTGTCTTTTTTCCTTCAGAACGACAGCTTAGTGTTTTCTTCAACTTCCACTTTTCATCTGTGCATTTTATCGGTGTATTTTACGGTCAGGAGAGGAGATTTGTTGAATTTGCCTGAATTTTACCGCGCTAGCTCAGTTTCTTGGCGTGCACCCACGGGCAAATGGTAGTGGCTAACTGACCAATCAGAGCGCGCGATTTACTTTTGTTATGTTATAACACTCTATTGAATAATGCAGCCGTCACAGAAGCCTCCCTAAAATTAACACCTAGAATAGGTCGATCATCTGCTTGTCCCCTTGTCCCTGCTCGTATCGGACCGTGTTAGAGAGAATTCACTCCTAATCTTGTCCCGGTAAACGTTTTAAGGCGGAATCGACCAAGAAATTGAGTAATTTAGGCCATATTGCACCTTTATTTACACTTTTCAAGGGCTATTGATATAATTAGTCATCTTTAATAGTCGTCTTCATCTTTCCTCATTAGCAAACGACTTAACTCATAGAATCCGTGGCCGTATATATGAACTAAATGCAAAAGTTGAAAGATCTGATTAAGTTGAGCAATTTGTGCAATTTTCAGCTCTTTGCAAGCAATATTGAAGGGTATATCAGGCATCCAAAACTGGGAAATTGCTGTGTGGCCAAAAACTTAATGAACCATACTTTCGAAGTAAAATTTCCACTTTTTTGAAGAGAATTTCTCCAAAACCTTTCGGTGCATTGGGCTCAAATTTTCAGAGATCACTGAAACTGTTATACCCTTTCAATATTCAGAGTTTTTATATTATTAGCGTCATCAGATAGTGATAAACGAATGTTAATGAGGCAAAAAGTGTAAACAAAGATTCGCCTATAACACCAAGACAATTGCTTATGGGAGCCCGAGAAAATAATTTTCAAATCTCACAAGAATTGAGCAAACACGAGTAAATCGTCATGCGTAAGATTTCATTTTGTGAAATTTGAAGCTTTTGAAGTTTTCTCGAGTTCCCATAAGAACCTTTTCGTTGGAGTTGTTTCATATAACTCATTACTTTTATAGCCCTCGAAAAGTGTAAAAAAGGGTGCAATAATGAATATGCTTGAAGTTATTCTGGTACAAGGTTTTTGTCAAATAAAAAATAAAATTACTCAATTTTCTAATGGATTCCGTTTTAACCTCGTGTGAATTAACGCGCCATTTACATCAGGAATTTAAAGCAAAATACAGAAGACTTTTAATGATAGCAATTCCTTTGTCCTGCGCAAAGGCAACGCGGAGGCCTCTTCAGTGTGCCACTAGCACGCGAGGGATGATGGGAAAAGGGTTGGAGAGGAATTTGCCTTTTCTGTTCCCATCGTCCACTAGGCGCTGACTATTTTCGTTATTGATACCAGTGGAAGTAGAGGAGAGCAAGAGCAATTCTTTTCATTTTTACGACTCATTAATCACAAGTGAAACATTTAGCAGTCGTTCTTTGAACTAGAGGCGAATAGTCGCCGGGTCAAAACTAGGGTTAAATTGTTAACTACAGACTAAAGTACGGATTAGGTATAAAATGTAAACTACTGCAGGACGGACTTAAGGTAAGGTAGCCTGTAGACTGTGAATATAGCAAATACGTTGGAAATGAAAAAAATCCCACGTCTCCAAATCTCTGTCATAATTCATCACTGAATTTGTACTGAAATAGAAATGAGAGTTTTATATACACTAACTAAATCTTTTAAATTGCGTTGATGTGAAGTTTTAAGATACATTTTTAATAATCAATTTGCCGTTACAGTTTTGAAATTTTCTGTTTATTTGCGTTTAAAGCACACAAACTATTTCTGCGTTTTAATAAATTGTTATTAGTTTGCCTACCCTGGCTACCAGGGAGGTATAAAGAGTAAATAAATAACTGTAATTTAACAGTTGCCAAGAAGCAAACTTTCCCGAGTAACAATCTTTCAAGTTAATTTTCTGAAAGTTTCTTTTAGCACTTTCCTTACTATGTTCAATCAAGCATGCATAAGAATCATAAACTGCTATTTTAATTGTTTAAAAACAGGTTGATTTAGTATGTATTGTTTCTTAGTCTAGAATAAGTGTCTCTAAATGTCGTATCTTAAAAAATGCCATCGTTTTACTATCAGTCATTCTTCTAAAAACTAGTGTCGCCTACTTTTGGTGCTATGTGATTTTAAAACATCCGACACAATTCAGGGCGACTTAAGCTTCCTTACTATTCTCTGCAAGTTTCAAACGCTCCTCTTTGTGTAAATGTTAACTGTTGAGGTCGACATACATACATACATATATTTTAAACTCGGATTTAGAATAGCTCGAGAAAGCTACTAGTATCTCCGAGTAGTATCTTTTCTTATAGAAGTGTTAATGATCATGACTGGCTGGTAAAAAGTGGTGTTATGGAAGCAGACACATGTATCTCATTATATTCAGTCAACTCGGGTGCAGTTGGTTTTCTTTTTGTTCTCCAGTAACAATTAAAAAAGTGAATAATCATTAATTCAGGAACATCGAAACAGGTTGAGCGATGTATCTTCTTTTTAAAAAAATGGAAGTGAAATTATTGTTCGATTTTCCAACAGAAATTTTCTACAGCCTTGAATGATTGACATATTTGCTGAAAGAGTTCAATATCACTATTATGTACAAACAGAGAAATTGTTCTTGTGTTACTAAGAAAATAACTCGAAGAGGGGTTCTTATCTGACTTTTGCTGTAAAATATCAGGTAAGAATTGTGAACATGCACACTTCAAATCTTTAGGAAACGTGATCACTGATACAAAACTATGATATATTGACCATTTTAAATTTACAAACACGAGAGATGTATATAAAGAAGAAAATAACTTCCCCCCTTCCATCCACCACAGCCATGGATAACAGTTTCAAGGTGAATAAATCTATTTTCGGAAATCAGTTACCGGTTATCTCGAGAATTTTTTTTCTGAAACAGTTTGGCTTAAATTATCCACTAACTGTCTTTAATTATACGTCTCTGAGTACCAACTATAAATGTAAAAAATACCGATGATGGGAAATATTGAACACCAATAATGTGTATAGATTATTGTTAAAATTTATCTAAGAAAAAGTGAAAAAAGAAATTGGTGTATTATCTGCTAAAAAGTGATCAAATGTACCTAAAATTTAAACTGTTAATGTTTATAAGTATACCAGTATAAATATATCATGTCTAGTATAAAATTCTTGTTAAATATATTTTAATGTTAAGCTGTCGCTATTTTAAGTGGCCGTTTATGTAACGGCAATTGCATGTACATCAGCGTTCTCGCTTTAGTTTGAATTCAGATTGTCGGATTATTCGGTGAAATTCAAAATCCAAAAAGGAGTGCCGGTATCAGAAAATCAGGTGGAACTTGGTGTAGCAAAAGTGATCTTTAGAAAGAAAGTCCGTATGTTGCTTTCGGTTTTGTTATGTTTTTCTTTCTCGTTTTCCTCTAGTTTGTATGATGTGTATCCTAGTGAAGGCAACATTGTTTGTGTTAACAGTATCGCTGCGTGTTTTCCTCTTTGTGGAAAACTTCGTTCCTGAAGGTACATTATCTGTATACTATTTGGGTATAATTTAATCTTTAATGTTCTTCAACGGAAACATTTTTGTCAACCATACATTTAAAATGCAATAGAAAATAACTAAAAAACCAAGAATAAAAAGACTCAAGCTAGTTTAAATTTTAGAGTGTTTTAAAGATCTATTTAGGGTATCGTTTTGTGTTGTCATAAGTAGACCTCGGATCGCCAGGATCGTGGTGTGAAGGCTCTATAACTTTAGGCACATGTTCCATCGAAAGAAGACTAGCCTTAAGTTCAAACCTAGGGTTAAACTTAACCATCGTTAGCTATCGTTCTACACTGTATTCAGAGAGTGTCAAAGCCTCTTCGCTGTTGATAACCAAGAATAGGGCGCTTAAGCAACCACGACCTATACGACAACAAGAATGACAAGGCTAATGACAACGTCCAATTAACATTGGTTCTATCGAGCACACGAACAGCTCTGCACGCGCATCACGCTTTTTTAGTACATTTCTTTGACGTCTACCATCCAACTACAACATGAAATAGGAGGTCATGAACATACGAAGACGAATTTTCCTTACTCGTTTTGAACCTGGATTAAGTCTTAACAATTCAACTCCAGGAAAAATGGCCAACATTTGACAAATGGAGTGGGTCCGAATAGACGCGATTAAGTTTGAAAGGAGAAAAATTCATTTTTTTTTAAGAACTGACGTTTTCACTGTCGTAGTCGTGGTTGTTGTTGTTGTTGCTTAAGCCACCCACCAACTTCAAAGCCAAATAAGTAGTACACTGAGATGACTTTCCTCCAAACCAGACTCGTTCCTTTTTTTGTGAAGGAAGTCGAATTCTGACAAGAACATCAGACGGTGAATATCTTCCTGGAAAGGTGGCTAGTTCAGAAGGACTAAAATTTTCAGTCACACTGGACAACGGAGGTCAAATCGAGTGCAGCTATGAAGACAGGACGGTAGTCGTACCAGACTCTACTCCAGCGTGGGTCACTTTAGGTGATCACGTGATTGCATTGTCGCCATTGACGAATGAGAGCCAGCAATATCTTACTGGCTTTGTGACAAGGATTTTTTGTCCACATGAAAAGGCGTTGTATGAGGTTACTTTGGATAATAATCATCGTGGGAATTACACGCTTCCACATTTACGAAAGCTTCCATTTTGCCGATCAGCTCATGAAGGTATTTACTCAATGAGCTTATAGCTTGCAATTACGCCTTCCCTTAAAAAAAAGAAAGCCTGATCGTACTTTGTGAGTTCATGGCTTGTAAACATTTCCTGAATTCCTAAGAACTAAGTCACCGAGGCTTCGGGCGACAAAAAGCAGAAAAATCAGAAATTGTGTGAAATTGTTTCCTCAAGCCTCGAACTCGTTTTGTTGACTGTACTCACGGGAGGAGATTTCGAGAAAGGTTCATCAGATAACATTTTAACACTAAATATCAAGGATAGCAAACATGTTTCTGGTTTTTCCCAATTCTTAACCTTCATTTGTAAAACTACGACAAACTGACTTTAATTATTTGAAGGAAGATCATCACAGATACGTTTGCGATGATCGTCCTTCAAATAATTCTTCACTCCGCAGTTCACATATATGATTTTTATATGTTCATAAACTGACTTTAGTTTAAAGATGAAGTGTCCGGATCCGTTATTGTGAAATTTATAAATAATAATTAATAGTAGTTTGGGAGTAAAACAGAACGTCTTTTTAGAATCGGTTTCAACATTTTTTCACCTAGAGTGTCAACAAAACTTGCGTTCATCTGTGTTTTGGTTTGTGAGCTTTGTGGTAAAGAGAGAGCAAGTCAAAAATGTTACACTGCTGAAGAATTTAACGTTGTTGTTTCGGCCCCGTCCACACCAATTCTGATAATTTTAAGACCCATCTTCGTTCATCTTTTTGACCTACCATCTACACCAAACTGATGAATTGCAAAAAAAATTATTTTCCGGCTTGTCCTGTCACCAACTAAACTTCAGTGCGGATCTTTTCTACTCAAGCAGGCTCAAGAAGGCAAAGTGGCGTAGTATGGCGTCCACACCGGGGGAAAAAGACACGTTTTCGAATCAAATTAAGCCTCATACCATGGGACGCAACTTTGCTGGCCGCCAAATCCCAACATTTTTGAATGTTACATGTCGCGTCCGTTTGCACACCGTGTTACATGTTGTTGCGTGTTGTTGGGAGTTGTTGGGAGTTGTTGCGCAAAGTTTGAAACCAGTCAGACTTTTTAGCCAACAAATACCAACATTTCTTTTGTTCTGTGATCCCAGAAGCGCAGGGCAGCAATGTTATATCCGTTTGCAGAGCTCTACCAACATTGTTGGGGCCACGCACGCGCTTTATGCAAGGCTTACAAAGTCTATGGGTTGTTTCCGTCCCACGATGCATACAACTCCCAACATTGTTGGGAGTTTTTACGTTCGTTTGCATGTAGCTCAGTAGAAAATGACTGTTTACTTAAACTTTATCGAAGAATTTACATCCATTTTCTTATTTTAGTCGGCGCCCGTGTTTTTGCTCGCTGGAAAGACAACCTTTACTACCGTGGTTTTGTGAAGAAACAAATTCACTATGCTGAGAAACTTTACATAGACGTGGAACTGGATCATTTAGGCCCCATTTCACACCAAGCCAGCGACGAAAGAGCCGTTATCCTTGACATCATTCCTTCATACAGTCACGTACATGCAACTCAGCGCGTAATTGGCTATTTTCCTGGGTATGCGAGCTACATTCCAGGGGTGGTGGTGAGACGAAATGAAGACTGCTGGCAAGGGGCTTATCACGTGAAGTTTGACACCGGGGAAGAATGTCAACTAGATTTTAATGAAATACGAATTCTTCCACCGTATGTTCAGTTAGTTTTCTAGAGTGAAACTGAACTGATATAATTTTTTTCCTTGACGAGCTTTATTTAACAAAGCAGTGCACTATCTGTAACTGTAACTAGATGGCTTGGAAATTGTTGTTCTCAGTTATCTGCGCTTTTAAAATGGAAACCAAGCGTGTAGGGATTTTAACCTAATAACCATCTTTGCTTAACGTTGACCGCGGCTCAACTTTAATAAGACCAAATTCAGCACTGAATTACACAGAAACTGCACCTCCGCGGATGACGGATGATGTTTCAGACTATCGGTTACATGTGCTTTTGTGCTAAATTTGTTTCTTGTCAACTTTATAACCTGACATAAAAAGTATAAGATTAAAACCTATAATGTAGTCTGTCTAAAAGCTCGAACAATATTAGTTGTAGATAATAACAATAAAATAATAACTATACTCCTGTCACATGACTACCAGCAATATTACCAATGCAGGGCTTTATTCGATTTGACCACAGAGATTTGAAAACCTCTTTCATTACTCCACTTATGCTGTGTTTTCCATTTCTGTATTCTTCCAAAGGGCCCAAAGGCTTCGTCTGCACTTGTCAATACTTCTAGCGGCGGTGGATTCATTTCAACTTACTTTCTGAAACAAGCCTGATGCGCCGGGGAGGTTAACGTGGCTTATCCAAATTGGTACCTATGCTTTGAACTGGCATATTTTTTCTGCTTTTTCTAAAGCAGCGAAAAATACTATGATCTAAGTTGATGTTCAGACCGAAAAAGTATTTTAACCAAACAAGAGAGCTTAACACGCCGAAGAGTCATAAAAGCTTTCCTAAAAACTTTTCCCACCAAAATGAAGCCTACTAAATGCCCAGCAAAAGAAAAAAAAATGAGGCAAGAAAAGCGAAAAAAGAGGGGAGAAGCATGCGCATGCCCGAACTTCTCAAGCCAAGATATTTTGCACCTGGATCAGAAGGCCTTTAAGTGTACAACCGGTAAATGGCTTTATGGTAAATTCTTGCTTTTTACAGCCCGGCAGTTACTAGAAAACCGCTCGACTAGCTTTAAAAGCGTTTTTCGGCAACATTTCCGGGGGTGAACGGGTTAATTACAAGAAATTAGTTGAAAGCAATAGCTTTGAAAGCAACAGCTGAATCTTGAATGTGCCGTATAATGTCGGCATCCGTTGCTTGGTGACACTTTTGGTAATCAATGGTAATAGACTAATTCTCGATACATTAAAATTCATACTTGGCTCCGAGGCTTTGCGTAAAACAAAAGAAATGTACTAAATTTAGTACTCATTTCTGAGCCTAAAGATGATTTACAGTTTCATACATAATGTCAACTTTATTTGTATCTATTCCCTCTAACTCCTTTTTGGATTTAAGCGTAGGTTCCATCAAACTATGTGCCCCATATTTACACCCCTTATTTAACCGAAAGAACGGTGCCTCCGAAAATGCCCCTAACCCTTTCAGTTATCATGCAGCGCTTGCCGATTTTAAATACAGTGGAAGCTCTCGTGAGCGCATACCCTCGAGAGACGGTCCCCAATAGGGTTCTTTAATCCCGTAATCCCGACCCGCAATTTCGTTCGATCCTGTAATCCCGAGGGTTATTTTTGGCATCCCACCTCCCGCACATAATTTCAATCCCGAATCTCGCCCTGATTTTGCTTTTAAATCCCGTATCCCGAGCTTCAAATAAGGGAAATCCCAGATCCCGAAAAACCTGTTGGGGACCCTCCTCGGGACGCAAATCCCTAACTGGAGCTGGCCGCTTACAGGAATGTAAAAAAGGTACAGAGTTTGTATGGGAGTAGAGAAAAACGGGGTTCTGTGAAGGCGACTGTTAGTAGAACCGACCAGTTACGTGAGTGTCCGTTAGGAAAGCTGCCATTGTATTATTACTTTTTTTTGACATTTGTTAATGCTGATGTGCCTCCAGTTTAGAATTGAAAATAGCTTGACCTCTGTTACGTTTTACGTTTTTTTCGCTGTTGTATTGTCATTTTTGAAAAAAAAAAAAAACAAAACAAAACAAAACAACAACAACAACAACAACACACCAGAGGAAGCCATTATTCAGGGGCACCCAATGATAATTTTCGGAAAATTATCTGTTCGGAAGACGATTTGAGATCTAGAATTTTCGGATCATTTTCTGTAAAATTTCTTGCTTGCCTGCCTCTCCTAGGATTTTCGAACATCAAAAAAAATGGTATAATTGCCCATCTTTAACAGATTTTTACCCTAAAAAGGTCACCTAGAATTTTCGGGAGCCTTTTTTCTGACTGAAATTTTCGAAAAGGTAAATTTTGATCCCTATAATTTTCGGATCACTATACTTTCAGCTAGGAAATCCGAACAGATGAAAAAGTTTTAGGGGATAAAAATAAGCCTTTATCTATCGTTTAAATACTAAATTACGTTCAACAATGCTATGTTTATGTGGTTTTGAACTATATCCTCGTTGGGTGCCCCTGATTATTACATGTTTTGTTATTTGTGAATGAGAAAACTTATTTAACCCCCCCGCCATCAAATAAGCGCCGCCTCCCCTCATCCAAATAAGTCTCCGTTGTTTTATAAAGTAATCATGGAAATCCATTCGACTGTTTGAATCTCAAACAAGAAATCCTGAACAATCATATATTAGTCTCTGTAACTGTCATTTGTCTTTATAGTTTTCTACCTCTCCTTTGTTGCTTCGTTTTCTTCCTCTCTTCAATTCATTAGTTTCGTTTGGGGAATCTTGAGACTTCTTTAAAGGATGAGAAGTGCAATCTGCATCATTTGCGTCGTTAGTTACATAGACAGCAACAAGAGAGTAAAATATTTCGAAATCCGTTTCGGATATCTTTGTTGAACGCCACATACAAGCAAGGATTTATCGCGGAGGCCATGTGGCTAAGAAACAGGCCAATTGCTCCTATACTAAATCCAGATTGCGGAATCCCACATAAATACTCATCAGCCTGGAAAAAGTAGAGGAAAAGCGAGATGTGTAGAGGAAGCCAACATAGCGCAAAGACCACAACCACAATGATAAGCAGCGTGAGAATTTTTTTGCGAGCTCCCAACTCCGCTGCTCTTCTTGAACGGTTGTTTAGAGGTACCGGCCGAATCCAGGCCTTGTAAACAACGATGGAGTAAAAGACACAGATGATTAATAATGGTACGGCATAAAGTAGGACGAATGTAATCACTGTGTAGGCTTTCGCAGCTGTTTCCTGGTCAAACAAAGGCGTCCAGTCTTCATAGCAGTAAACAATTCCATCTATTTCTTGGGTAGTCATGGCGTAGAGTAACGGAGACACTGAGAGAAACGATGCTAGCCAAATAGCCAGTATAACAAATTTCACCGCTTTCATCGTGATGATCTTTTTGAATGGAAATTTTACCAGACAGAAACGCTCAAATGCGATCACTGTCAGTGTTAATATGGAACAGGAGACTGTCGAGTCCGATATAAAACTTGCGAACTTGCAGAGTACTGTTCCTGGTATCCCATCGAACCAATAATACTGACCCGTTATCTGCCTTATAAGTCGTCCAGGCATATTACAGACCGTAACCAGTATATCTGCGACGGCCATGTTTATAATGAGGCGGTATGTAATGGTGTTGAGTCGATTATTTTGTTTCACTGCACATATCAGCAGAGTGTTGCCTATAATAGATACAGTGATGATAACTGAATAGCCAACAATGTTGACCACTCTTTCAGCGGCGCTCTCTACTTCAATTTCACAAGAATCGTTGACAATTACATTTGGCGCAGTCGCAGCCAGACCTGTGTTGTTCATTGTTCAAATAAGTTAAATCAAACAAGTACAAAAATAATACACTACTTGCACAAACAAACCAACACGGCAAACTGATCGAGATCTGATTAATGGTGCAAAGCAAACGGGGCAACACGCTTGTGTTTAAACTGAGGTAATCTGATATCAGTTCGACGGTTGTAGCTTACTACCTACAAAAAAAGTGTTGGTATTCTTCATATCTTGAACGTGTTTCAAGTTCTGTTGAAGGAAAAATTGGACTGCCAATGTTTGCGCATTGAAAACACGGACACTTATAGTGACGCCTGCTTTTTGAGGTGATTAAAAAAAGCAATTAAAAACAACAGGGTATCATCAAAATTGTTTCAATCCACTTAATCTTTAATTCGTTTCCAGTTATTGTTTGACCTCACCCAGTATTGGTCCAAAAGTTTTTTTGTCTCGTTAAAGGATGGCAAGCCAATTACCACCAAACCTTTGGTGTTAGAATTTCTTTTCAACTGAATAGACTGGAGATAGACGCCCAGACACGAAGACGGTTGCTAATGATTCATTCAAAGATCGCTTGTTCCTTTTTTATGCTCTTGATAAAAAAAAAAAAACAAAAACAAAACTAAGGCTCTATACTTCTGTACACGATTGTTCGTGTTTTTCTTGATTACCGCCAATTATACTCCAGTAAGCATACACTGGTTTAGACTTTCGCGTAATTTTTCCGTGCGCACGCGTTTCAAATATTTTACGCGTAACCAAAATAGAGGCCATTTATGTCTGTAAGAGCGGCTGGCGTAATCGTAAAAGCTGAGAGAGGTTCAACTTGTACCTTTACGCGAGTAAAATTTACGTGCGTAAGCAAGTTAAAATTATGCGGCAGTGGAAATCGATCTTGAGTTGTTTCTCTTTTCGTTGACTCATCATCTGATACTAAAATCCTTTTCCATTGATAGCTAATTTACTCAGTCGTTATACCAGCGGCCGGTTGGTTTTTTAAAACCTATTTTTAATTACAAATATACAATCACTGAACAGCAATGCCTTGAATAATTTACACTTAGTTACTACAGGTGTAACACCTTTTGTATCTTGTTTCCTAAGAAACTTAAAGGTTACTATGAACTGTGGACAAATCCGGAGTCAGATAAGAGATATAAAAAATTTGATACACAAATGAAAATTACACAGAAAACGCTAAAAGGAAAATTAGAATAAGATAGGCACTATTTCGTCTCAATACAAAACATAAAAA